GGGACATAAGCAATTTCAAGAGGAAAAATATTGTTTCTTTAGTTCTTGCCTTTTATCTAGCATAAATGCAAAGTAGATGATGTTTCACTGTTCTGACCAGTCAGGTCATGATATGTGTTTTGGACTTTCTGCATCAAACTGCAGATTTGATACACTGGGTAATGGTGTATCTTATTTTAAATTCTGAAGTAGTAAGTCTTAAATGTGACAGCTGGAATTACAAAGATGTCTGTACATCTGGATGCAGACTTAGCATTACTGATTCTTTTTTTCTCTTCAGTAATAAAAGACATGTAGTTATAAAAGACTGTATGTTATTGTTTGGTTTACATGAACAGCAAACAGACCAATAGTTACATGCGGCTTATGCCAACTTCGGCTGGTGACTCCTGTGAGTAGTTTGTTCTACAATTCTACACCATGTCCTCACTGAAGTGTAAACTTCTTTGATGCGGGAGTGGTGTAATTTGTAATTTTCACTTCTCTTTTTCACTCACATTTGTGCAAACTCAGTGAAGCAATATTTGGACCTTGCATTTTATTATGCTTATTCACAGACTGTAATATACTTAAGGAGAGGCAAGTGTCTTTGATATTGGCAATGCTCATTTAGGTTCTCCTAGGGTACAAACCTGAAAGCTTTTTGTTTTGCTGCAGTAACAAAGGTGTTCTTCTCTCTAAGTGGGAATGCATCTCAAGGAATTTGAGAAATTAAATGAGTGTTGGTTTAATTGCTTTTAAGTATGAAGTTGTGTCATGAGCTGATATTTGGGGGCTACCGCTGCTTTAGTACCTGGGAAACATAACAACAGGGACGTGCAAGACAAATTTATTTAAAGCTGAGTAAGTGTGCAAAGTGTCACTTGAATAAGAAGTGTAGAAAACGCCTTTGGTGATATGTCTGTCCCACTGGCGTTTTGTGCAAATTACTAAATTTTCCAAAGTCAAATTTACTAATAAAGTAGTCTTAAAATGCAAATGCTGCAGTGCAGCATTTGTATAAACACAACCTGTCAGGGGAGAACAACCTGTATTAAACACTGGTCTGTTTACTCTGACACTTAATTTTGAGACTCCTTCGGTTTGATAGGTTTTTCGATTGTTTGGTTCCCTGTGTGTGGTCTTGCATCCCAAACACATTATCTAATAGTGATACGAAGAATCAGGTCAGTTCCTGAGACTGTTTGATGCTGTGTCAAGACCCGGTTAGGACAACCCAGGAAGCTTCAGATTGGACCCCCTTGTTTTCTAAACTCCTTCTCAGAAAGGAGCCAAGGTGCATCTGGATCCAACCTTTGTCTCAAACCTAGCTATCCCAGGAAGAACGATTAACATGTCACTGTCAGAGCAAATGCTCGACCATCCAATACCCCTTGATCAGATTAAGGTGAAACAACACCCCATGTCTGTATTTGAATATTAGGTTTAATTAAAGCTGAAGAAGGAATACTGATACTTTAATTATTATCTTAGGCTGCATGATGGTAAGGGCTGACATTTAGATCACAAGAGTACAATACATACGTGTTCAAGCTGCATGTCCTGAGAAAAAATCGTGGTTAGGCCTTGCATTACTTAATGATTTATGAAGGAAGGAAGAGAGAAAAAAGGAGAAGAAAAGTTAGAGATAGATAACAGCAAATCACCAGTCCTGGGTTGGGCCAGCCAATGGGGGAGGGTTGGTGTCAGTGAGGTTCCCAAAAGCCGCCATTGCAGCCCCCGGGTTTATAGGCCTAATTTCCTTGTTATCAAGGAGGTGTAAGATTGAGTCATAAAGCCTGAGCAGCTAGAGTGAACCTCTGCCCCCTCATCCTTGTCATTATCTCAATGATGTATATCGGCCATATGCAGGCCATCAGCGTTGTCTCCATCCTCTCAGGCAGGCCTTTTGGGATGCAAACAAGACTTTGTTCAAGGGGTGACAATTGGGTTTCAACACCACTTCCCGAAAGTGCAGGTCCTGAGGGCTGGTCCCTCACATGCTGCTCTGTGACAAGTCCAGATAATGATAGTTTTTCTTTGTTCTATTGGTTAGTAATAGTGGCCTGCTGAATTCCACCCTGGCACATTGATAAGAATTAAGCTGTCCTTAGTTTACTCTTTATACAAACCATAGTTCCAAACCCTGTGGGAAACAGGAAAGTTTCTATCTGTCATTCTCTTAAAGGCAGCAAAATGTAAAATGAAAGTTTAATGTTGACCTGCCTCCCTGTGTAGTTGTCAGGATTGGGAAAGGAAAGCAGTGGTAATGATGTGCTTTACTAAATTGTCATGCAGATTGGTTTTGTCATGCCTTCGTCACAAGGTGCAGAATAAAAGGCAAATTACTAATAAAAGGCAAATTACCAATTACCTTACAGAAGAGAAAACAAAAGGAAAAACAGTTCTGTGTAATAGTGTACTTTTGTTCTTCTGCTCCTTCTCTTAGACAAATTTGCAGACCTTAAATGGTGGAGAATTCTATGTCTGTATCGTTTTATAAAGCAGAGGTGTGTACTGTATGATACTTACAGTTTTAGAACACCTTGAGAGCTGACATTTGTATTTAAAATGTCAGGGATCTTTGTCAGGGAGCATTAAAGGCTATGAAATACCCTGTGTTGGTAGTCTGCATAGAACTTTCTCTGAGCTCAAGCTACCATGCTGACCATTTTACGTGGTATTTTAACTTACTAGGATAGCCATGCAGATATCTGAAAACAGTCAGTTCTTAATGTTTGTAAATACTTTCAGCTGAAAAGGTAGATGGCTCAGGAATATAATTTCTTACTTTTTGATGAATTGTTGTTATTTTCCATGCTAGAAAAAATGGGAATGGTGCTTTTCATAATTTAAAATGTTGTTTAATAGCTCTTCATGCAAATTAAACTGTCCAGCCTAAGTCTATATATGTATTTGAAGCCCTTGTAAGCAAAGGCTGAAGTAGATTCTTGGATGTGAAAAACACTGAGCTTCGCTCTTAAATTTGTGAAGGTAATTGCAGTGTAACTTCCAGAAGGGGAGAAAGAGGATTACCTTGGGATGACCAAGTAAACCAGTAAACCTGGGATAGCAAACTCACTTTCTAGTACATATAAACACTACCACAGAAGCTGGAACAGGCAAAATTTGGCTTCTGTATGTAGCCTTCCATCTTTGAGCCTAGCAATGTCTCTCGGGTTGTCTTGCAGGATATAATCATTAAGAGAGAAGCATGTCAAGTGTAATGCATTTAGTAATCAAATTGCTTTTTTATTGTAATATTAGGATAGTAGTAATGGACAGCTTATAATAACTGAAAAATCAACAGTGCCTTTGTATAAAAAGGAACATTTTAATAATGTGGGGATTTTTTCCCATTTTGGGAACCAGAAAAGATCAAGCCTTGGTGGACTTGGGTTTAATGCATCCTATTCCCCTTTACACTGAGTGGAAAGGTACAAGTCATTAAGGGGGTTGCCAGAGGCAAGCGGAAGCTCTCTGTGGTAGAAGCCAAACTGATGTAACATTACAGAGGAAGTGGCATAGGTTATGCCTTTATGAGGATGCTTGGGGAGTTCCCGTTGCCCTTTGGGACTGGCTCACACACTGGAAGGAAGAATTCGCAGAAATGAGGAAAGCTACTGGGAATGGCTAACTTGTGGGGAAGAAGCACAAGGGATGTGAGAAGACCTCAGTGCTAAGGGCCAACATGACAATGCCTGTATTGCAAATCGAAGAGCCCAATGGGAAACAGATTGTCAACCATGAAGATGACCAGGCAGCACAGACCACACAAGTAAACAAAGACCTTGGTTAGGAGTATAAATGGCAGCTACTTGTTTCTTGAAGGACTCACAGAATAGCATCCTCCAGAACTAGCCAGGCTTGTAGACACAAATCAGAAAATGATTAGGGTGCCTAAGACATTCACCTGGTGATACAAATCCAAGTGCTTCATCAACACGGAAGTACTTGAGACTGCTCACAGTGTATCCACTGCAGCTGAAGCACATGGTTAAGATGTACTCTCTGGTTGGGGTACAGATGCTAATGTTTTGTTCTGCCTTCTTGGTTTCCCATTGTTGTATTGTTGGGAGCACTTGTAGTCTTAACTATGGCTGTTATAGTCTTGTATATAGATCTTGTATAAAGATCTGGAAACCAATGCAGAAGAGAAAGTGTGAAATTAAGATGTGAGTAACTTCTTACTACTTCTTGTCAGATGAACGAGTGCTGCTGAGGTGTCAAGCAGTGGTGAAATGTACCTCGGCCTACAGAGCTAACTTCACCCAAGCAATTAGAGTGATGCAGGCCTGTAAGTCTGACCTTATGGTACAGACTACTCTGTTCAGCAAGGAAGGGGGAAGTAGTGAGAAGCACTTTTCTGCAGTGTTCCACAGAACACTGCACTTCAGTGTTCTTTTAATTAATAATCACTCTTCTACAGAGGGAATAATAAAAAAAACCCACCCAGTTAATGTGTGCTGATTAATGCATTTAATCTGTCACAACATAAACTGTGACACCATAAAACTTTGAAATGTGTATTTTATGAAGGTGAAACCATTACCAGTTTACTTTGAGCCTGAGTGATACGATCTTCTTTTTTGAGGTTTTGTTCTTGGTAAATATTTTGAAGATTGTGTTAGTATTGTGAGGAAGGGAGATGTGTGGCTTTCTGACTTACCATACCATGAAAAACAGCTTGGCATTTGTCAAAATGGTCACTACAGTTACTGAAAATAATGAGATTAATAGACATGTATTATGTAAGCAGACAAAACCTTGTCTGCAAATGTTTTCTGACCTTGTGTGTATCCCTGTATCCTGTAGTCCTGCAGTCTGTTTCACAAGGTCAAAACCAATATGGAATGCCTCAGGAATGTATGTCCCAGAAATACACAAGTTTTTTACTTGGAGCTTGATTTGTACATTCATATAACCTTATTCTGTAGAGGAACTGGTGTAACATTTGGGAAGGCAGTTAGAAATCATTGAATTCTGCATTGAATTTTGCTGTAGACATACATTATTTGACTATGGATATTAGTTTTTCCCTAAAAAGAAGTTTGATTGAATTAGCTAGGCATTTCAGAATAACTTAAATAATTAATAACTTTTTCTATTTCTGTTCACAGATGCATTGTTTTAAAAACAACTGTAATTTATACTTATTCCTTTACTTAGATGTCAGTTTTCATCATGTAGCGTAAGTCATTTCTGTGAAGGATACACTACATTAACCCATTTACTTAAGTGTTTGATATGTTCTTATCTCTAATGTTTATTCTTGCTTTTGGGTATGTATCTTGTGGCTTTTTCTACTTCAGTTAACTTGTGTTTGTGTACATGTATATTTGTCTGGTTCTGAGAGAAGATTTTGAGAAAATATTCTTGATTGCATGTTTGTTTCTGAAAGTCTTTCCTGGGCATCACATCTTAGAAATGTTTGATTTTATTTTTTTTTTAACTTAGTTAGCACAAGGAGATCTTTTTTCAACAACAATTTGTTCTTCTTTGTTTGTTTGCTTCTCTTGACAGAGACACTGGGATTACTTAGGCTTTTGCCTAAGGCCACAGCAATAGTGAATAATGTGTATAGAAGGGGGGTGTTGTTGGGAAGAATGAATTTCAGGAGTTGTTTCACTTTTATATCAAGCTCTTTCTCTGGAACAGTGATAACATTACTAGTAATCTTGTCTTTTACTTTTTAGTGTGGACCTGACAAGCTTGTTTCTTCTGGTGTCAGTAACAGGACTTCTACCATGAACACTTCTACTCCAGCTAAAGGTATACATAAAAAAATATTTTTATCACAGTTTTTTAACAGAGTGTGTTTTCTCTGTAAATGGTAGTGCTGTTGCTGGTGGTGTTTATGATCACCATAAGCAGCCTTGCCAAGCCTGAGCTTCAATCTGACTCCAATATAAGAGCTACTGGAGTCCATCCAATACAGTGACAATATTGAGGAGCTCCAAAACAGGTCAGCTGAACTGGGAAAAAAAATATTTTCTGTAGTAATCATTAAGCAAGTAATCTTCTGTACAGTGCCTACTCAATTCTTCTGTGGTTGTGCATTTGAAAGGAATTTGCTTCGAAGTATTCAAGGCTATCAGGATCACAGAAATGGAAGATTATCATCCTGTATCAGTCTCAGTTTGGTGGAACATCGGGCACATTCTGTGGATAAAGAGTTCAGCTGGTTCCCTTTGGTATTCTTGTTCCCGCTTTCTACCTTACTTCCAGAGCTTCTTGAGCAGCAGCACAGTTCTATGATTTGCTTACAGATATTTTCCTGCCCGTTCTTGTTCCCAGACAGTCTTTCCATGGGCTGAGGTGAATGGTAGTGGTTTTGCAAGGAAAGGAGTAGGAAGAATTATATTTAGGATTTTTTCTTGATCTGAATCACCACATATCTTCACAGATTGTTCTTCAGCAGAATTTTTTGTTGTTTTTTTTGGAGATGGTGGGAAATTGGACAGGCAGATGCAAGGTAAGGAAGATGGGTCAGCTTAAACAACATGATGGCTCCGTGTGAAACCACAGCCACATGCTTCTTCAAGCATGTTACACTACAGATCCAGCTGGTGGCCAGTCACAAGTGGTGTTCCTCAGGGCTCAGTGTTGGGGCCATTTCTGTTTAACCTCTTTATTGATGATCTCGATAAGGACACAGAGTGTATTTTCAGTAAGTTTGCAGATGACATCAAACTGGGCAGGAGTCTTGATCTGCATGAGGGTTGGGAGGCCCTACAGAGAGACTTGGATAGATTAGATCATTGGGCTGACGTTAATGGTCTGGGCTTCAACAAGGGGGAAGTGTGGCTGGAAAGTGGCAGAAAAGGACCTGGGGGGTTCTAACTGACAAGAGGCTGAACATGAGCCAGCAGTGTGCCCAAGTGGCCAAGAAAGTCAATGGCATCCTGGCCTGTATTAGAAATAGTGTGACCAGCAGAAGCAGAGAGGTGATTGTCCCCCTGTACTCAGCACTGGTGAGGCCACACCTGGAGTGTTGTGTCCCAGTTTTGGGCACCTCAATTCAAGAGAGATGCCAAGATACTGGAGTGAGTACAGAGGAGGGCAAAAAAGCTCGTGAAGGGCCTAGAGGAAAAAATCTTATGAAGAACACTTGAAGGAGCTGGGAATGTTTAGTTTGAGGAAGAGGAGGCTGAGGGGGGAGACCTCATCAGTCTCTGCAACTCCTTGGAAGATCATTGTAGAGAAGTTGGTGCTGGTCTCTTCTCACAGGTAATTAGCAACAGAACAAGAGGGAATGGCTTCAAGCTGCAACAGGGGAGGTTTAGACTGGACTTCAGGAAATTTTTTTTCACAAAAAGAGTAGCTAGACACTGGAATAGGCTGCCCAGGGAGGTGGTTGAGTCACCATCCCTGGATGGGTTTAAGGGTGGTTTGGATGTGGTGTTTGTGGATATGGTTTAGGGGAGAACTTTGTAGAGTAGGGATGATG